GTGCTCTGGTCCATTGGGTCACGAAGAATCGGACATGACTAAACGACTAAATAACGATGACAATATGGCACATGCTAAGCAAGTGGAAGTAACTCTTAATTAATTCTGCAGAATTATTACTGGCTGCCTTAAACCTACTCCCACTGAAAAATCCTATTACTGAGAATTTGGTTGGCATTGCCCATCCAGAAATAGAGAGGTGCTAGCAAACCCCCTGGACAACAGGTAAAATCAAGGAAAAACTTTATGCATACATCTCAAGCTCTAAATATTAAACCAGATAAGGCTTGGCTAAATCTGTGGAGAGCAAAAACAACACACCTTGCTGAATGAATGAATGCCGAAGAGTGTCTCCCACCAGGACAAGATTCTACCTGGGTGATCTGGAACTCACTTAACAGACTTCAAAGCAGAATAGGAAGATCAAGAATAATCAAGTAAAATGGAGCTACTTGAATACAGGACAAATTTTCTGTGAATGTGGAGAAATTCAATCAATGCAGCATTTATGTGCATGCAGTTCATGCCGCACCACGTGAAATGAAGAAGATCTAATAAACAGGTGAGATAAGGCAATTTAAGTAATGTGCTTCTGGTCAAAACTATCTAATCATTTCAACATTTTATATTTTTTTGAACTTTATCTATAGTTCATATACATTTATAATTTTAAATTGTACAATGCTCTCATGCAAAGAAAGAAAGAAATTTAAAATTACATTCTATATACTAATTCTCTATGTGGGAGGACATTTTTTTACATGTAGCCATAGTTGTTATTTAACTGAATTCATTTTAATTATCTAGAAAAGCAGGGTAAAATTGAGTGTGCTCACACAATGCAACTTGATACATGTCGATTCAGAAGTGTATTCCAATGAGTCATGGAAACATATTCCCCGCAGAACTTAAAATGTTATTTTTAAGGAAAATGAATATAATGATATATTGGAGCTGGTTCGGGATGGCTTCCGCATGGCATTGTACCCAGCCTTCTTAAAAGCATCTTTTAAAGTTCTGTCCCCACAGAAACAGATACAGGATTGCATCCTAAGTATGTCACATCTAAGTTCCAAGTGGATTTAATTGGCTGTTATGTGTCATCAGGGTGCTCTCAAACTATGGTCACCTTACCAGGATTTCTGAGTAGTGATTTTCATTAGCACCTTAACTTAGTGAGTTTCCAAGCTGAGCAGGGATTTGAACCCAAACCTCCTAAATCTTGATCTAACACTCTATGCACTACATCATACTGCTGTCCAGATTTAATTTAGTTATGGGGTACAACTAGACAAACCAATTATCCTGATCTAGATCAGTCTAGATTGTGCCGAACACGGTTGCTTTGAAGTACAATATGTTCTTTGGAATGATCCTGGCATCCACATGCAAGAATCAACTACATCACACCTCAACTGGCCCTGTTTCGCACAAATTAGACCAATACAGTGGTGCCTCGACTTACGAACGTCCCGACATAGGACCATTTTGAGTTACGACCAGCTCCAGCTGCAAAATTTTGCTTCTACTTGCAACCAGAGGTTCGAGTTATAACCAGAAAAAGGCAGGGGAGAAAGGAGAGGAGTTCAAATTGCTAACCATTCTTTGTAGTTCTTTCGTCCCAGCAGTTAATGTGCGATTGGAAGAAGCTTCAGACTGCCTGGTAAGGTGCTGCTTTCTACTTTTTAAAAACTGTCCTGTGTGGGTTTTGCAGCATGATCTTGGGCTGGGTGGTGGGATTATGTTTCTATGCTGTGATGGGTCTTGCAGGGTTTGTTTTTGGGGGGGGTGCCCCCATTTCCAATGGGTCTTGCAGGGTTTGTTTTTTGGTTTGTTTGTTTTCCCTTTTCTGGTGGGTCTTGTAGGGTTCGTTTGCTTTTTGGGTCCCCCCCCCCATTTCCGATGGCTCTTGCAGGGTTTGTTTGCTTTTTGCTTTGCTTTTTTTGCATTTCCGATGGGTCTTGCATGGTTTGTTTGCTTTCTGCTCTGCTTTTTTTTGCACTTCCAAAGAGTCTTGCACGGTTTGTTTGCTTCCCCCCCCTTCAGCTGGAACAGATTAATTGCATTTCTGATGGGTCTTGCAGTGTTTTTTGTTTTTGTTTTGGTGATTTTTTTTCTTCTGCCAGAACATTTTGGTGATTTTTTTCTTCTGCCAGAACAAACTAATTGCATTTTAATGCATTCCTATGGGAAATGATGTTTCAACTTATGACCATTTCGAGTTACGACTGGAGTTCTGGAACCAATTCATTCATAAGTCGAGGCACCACTGTATTCATTCCCTTTAAAGGGAAAGGGGGGACCCAAGAAAAACCTTCCTGTCTCTTCCTCCATCCTTTGCCTAAACTACATATCAATCATGAGAAATGGAAAGCTTTGCCACTCACCTACAGAGAGAAAGGAAAAGGAAGTTTCCCATCTGTTTTAATACAGTGGTGCCTTGCTTAACGATGATAATCCGTTCCAGGAAAATCGCTGTTAAGCAAAAACACTGTAAAGCGAAATTAAAAACCCCATTGAAACACATTGAAAACCGTTCAATGTGTTCAAATGGGGTAAAAACTCACCATCCAGTGAAGATGCTCCATACGGCAGCCATTTTCGGTGCCTGTATAGCGAGGAATCCATCCCTAAACACAGCAGGGAGCCATTTTAAGCACCCGGTGGCCATTTTGAAAACCCGACGATCAGCTATTTTCGATTGAAGCGATCATTGCTAAGCGAAATTGCGATCGCAAAAACTTCGTCGTTAAGCGAATTCGTCGTAATGTGGGGCAATCGTTAAGTGGGGCACGACTGTAGTTGCTAACTGACATAGCACATCAGCTATGCATTGAAAGGGTTTTTGGTGTGTTGGCAAATATTAAAAAGAAATGGAAAAATTCCTCTCCCTTCTCCTACACAGACGAATAGCAAAGAAACTTTCCATTTCTCAATAACTTCTGGTGGTGTAAGCTAAAGGACAGCTTAAGCCAGCCACTTTGGTTTGACCCCAGTGCTCACACATACTGGAACCAAACCAAAACAGAGCAATCTTTCCTGCACCAACCCCCCCTCAAAACTATAGCTCCTGACAAGCACCCAAAAAAGTATGAGCAGACATTGATCAGAGTGGGCTGGTTCACAATGGCCCATGCATCATGTGGTTACCAGGATAAGTTGCAAACCAGGCAAGACTAAACCACAGGACAATGCCCATCTGATAGCACACACAGTTAACTTTTCAGTCTAATTTCAATAGGACTTGAGTGTAGCTAATTCAGTCCCATTCCAATTCAGGAAGATTACAACTGAAAGCTAATGCTCAGTCCACACACAAAGTATTCCATCTATTGATTTGAGACAAGGCAATTGGTTATGCATCTACAATTTGATGATTTTTTTAAGTAGGAGAGGCTTCAGTTGCTTAGTTCAATGTCTTTAATCTGCTTTACTTGTCTGAAACATCACTTTAAAAGAGGATGAAAATAAAGAATACAGCAATGGAAAATTAAGCAAGCAGACCTTGCTGATTTTAATAGATTAATATTCTAAAACCATTTAACTATTTGCCATTAACATTTACTTTATTTTTATTTTCGCCTATATTTAGTATGGCCAGATCAATAACACATCTCTACTTCTCTTTGTTAAGCATCTAATCTGAAGGCATGAATGACTTCCAATTGAACAAGTAATCATGGCATGGATAGAAGACTCAGGGAATTCTGAAGGTAACTGCTGTGCAACAGTTTACATAAACATTTCCGAAGCATAAGCCAACAGTACAGTTCCGAGAGCTGCCCTCCTGTTGATAGTTCTGCAATTTCTGCATTTCCTTCTGCACTCTTTAATCCATTATAGGTCCTCAGCCAAAGCCTTTAAAATTAGGGATTTAAGTCCATGAAAAACATAGTTGTAGCTGACCAAGTAATCTGCGTCCATTAGGTTTACTTAGTGAGGTTTTAGAGGAATCAAGACCTCTTGCTTACAGCCTGTGCATTATGTGTTTGTTCTAAAGCATTAGTAAATTTACTCTGTACTTAACTCCTTCTTTCTGGCAGCAGCAGCAAGAGCTCTTGTACAGCAAAGCAACACACTCAGCAAGCTAGTCTCTACTCAACCTGCTGTTCAACCTTCAAGCATCTATTCTGTGCCCCAAGAGGTACTCACCGACAATGTCTTCATAGGCATTCTCTTCTAAAGTGCTCTTAGACCCAAACTTGTGCTGTTTCTCAGTACCATTCTCACTTGGGGAGGGTGGGTACAAAGCCTGGAGGCTTGATGCATCTTCAAACTCAAAGGACTTTCTAGAGTGGAGAAAAGGCAACAGAATAATGTTGGTATTGCCTCCTGAACTTACATAAGCTAAGTGAGCTGCAGCTTAAGGCCTCCAATCACATACCTCTAAATTCAAAGCAAAATGAAACACACACACACACACACACCCAAATTCAAGATAATTCATTTTTGTAGCAATCATGCCTCTTAAATCAGACACAGTTTAGGGTTCCAACATATCTTAATCCTACCCTACACAGTACATAATTAAGATCCAACAGTGCATATACAACATTATCCAAGTTTAAGTTCTCAGAAAGAAAAGATTACTGTACATCCTGTTTTTGCAATGGTTCAGGATGCCCTGAAGCTGTCCTACATAGTTGATTCCATGACGAACATGCTTTCCCAAATACATCACCAGCTGACATTTTGACGTGTCAATGGAAAGACAGCTCCTCATCAAACCTAAATATGTATACTGTACATAGTCACAGTGACCAACGTTCTGGTCCTTGGCATAGCAAATCACAATAGAATCAATGGGGATTTAGTCAACTCCTCTATGTTCCATGGATTCAAATGGCCCCACCATAACTGCAATGCACTATGCTAAAGTAAGTCATGACTACAATAGGCCCATTTGAATCAGTGGAAATCAAAGAAAGAATTGGCTGACCAAATCCCCATTGGTTCAAACAGCCTATTCTAGTTGCAATTTACTGCATTATGCAGCAGAATTTTGGCCGTTATCTCACAACATTTAGTAGATACACAAAACAACAAATTAATTATATATTGAACTACTAAGTAGGGATGGATGAAAATTTTGTTCTTTGCAGTGAGAAATTGCCAAAATTAGAAAAGTTCTTTATGAACAGTATAGAAAGAACTTGATATTTATTTAAAAAATTCAAATGTGAGCAAAAGGTCGACTTATAAAAGTCTGTCTTTGAATCTCTCTGTACTCGACCATACTGGAGATTCTGAATTGGGGTCCCCACCTCTTCCCTTCTAAGAGGCTCCTCATCTTCAGCAGCTACACCTTTTCAAATACCATGGCCTATTCCATACTGGGAATAACTATATTGTTTGAATCTGTCCAGTTTAGATTGGTGCAGATTTCATTTTTTGGAGTGTAACAAAATTAGCAAATGCAAAAATAGGCAATACCTTTATAGACCACAACAATTTACAAATATATTCATAAATGTGATGGAAAGAATGTGGTTCTTTAAAAAAATCAAATGTGGGAGAAGAATTATAATATTGAGAGTTTCATCCATTCTATCACTAGGACTTGGTGACAAGTCCAGGACATAAAATTGTCAGACTGTGATTTGACTATAACTCCAACATAATGAGAGTTAAACAAAGTTAATTATAAAAATATTTAAAAACAACTTTATTGCAAGAATGCCCACCACTACCCTGGTGAGATATTTAGGCCAACAGAGATTTCACACCAGCCTTTCTTTTTCTTTTTCTTTTTAATTTTGCAGAATTTGTGCTGGCTTATGACCTGAACATGCACTGAGTCAACTGCAGTACCATCACATTCATTAATATTCTCCACAAAGTGACCACACAAACCAAGTTGTAGTGGTGGGTGGGAGTGGAGATTGGTTGCACAAAGTCACTTTAGGTTGCTAAAGTGCTTTTCCTTTCAGAATGTATTAAGTTTTGGCTCAGCTGTATCTGTAGGCCAGCTGGCTCCTCAGATGTTGATGGGCTTTCTCTCCGGAAGCCCTGAGGTCTGGCAATGCTGACTGATGAATCTGGGAGCAAGAAGAGGCATTTGAAGGAGCAAAACTCGATTACATACTTTGCTTCTGAGGTTAGTGACTTAAATCTCTCACAAACAGCCTGTGTGAACCCTTATTAAAATACAACCCTCTTCTTCTCTAGAACTTCCAAAGGTCTGTTCTTCCCCACTGATAATCTGCAGATAAGAGGAAAGTCCTGGGGGATCAACTTTGTAGGGTTTATGGGTCAACTTCTCTCCCTGACTCACTGCAGACCACACTACCAGTTAGTAGGCATCCTTCAGTCTCAAGAGACTATGGTATTTCGAGACACTACCATTTCCCAATGAAACCTGAAGCAGCAAGAAGCCCATTCAAGTATAAGAAAAGTGGATAAGTCTTTTGTGAAGGAGACAAGGCACACCTTGAGCTCCACACACTCACACACACATCAGAGCAATGTATGTGGTTTCCTGAAGCTCTCCTGGGTTCTGCAAATTGTCAGCTACCTCCCATCTCCAAGTGACTGCTAAATGCTTCCTGCTCTCAGTATTACCCACAGCACTACGAAACATTACTTGCCATCCCCCTTGTTACATCAATGGCATTAAATGATACAGTAATGTCTTTGCTCGTTGTAATTTTTAATGCAAGAGCATAAGAGGATGTTATTGTGAGATTTCACCATTTAAGCTAGGTATTTCCCAAATTTCTGCACTTCATTCTATGGTCAAGCATTAACTTCCAAAACAAAGATTAATAACCACCACCACCATCACCATGCTCCTTAAAATTTCTGCTCTTGCTGAGATTATGGCCAACGTCCAAAAATACATGCAGTTACACTCTCATCTTGAGCTCGTGCTTCTTAGAACTCTATTATGAATCAAAAGTAATAGTTTCTCTTCAGTGTCCCTGCCTATCATAATGTCAAGCTGTTATAATATTAAACTTGTAAAGAAAGAAAAAAGACAGTACCCATTAACATTCAACTTACAAGTATATTCAAAATATTGTTAAGGTACTCTTCCTCTTCAGAACCATTAATAAGAACTCAGTGTAGACAACCAAATATATTTAATAATCATTAGCTTCCATCCAAAGTATTTCAGGCAGGGTTCTACAATGGTTCCTGCTCCAACCATTTGTGCACAGCCCCAAAGCCATCCCTGAGGCTCAAAGGACACACAAGACCTGATATGTTGTGTGCGACTAATTGGGTGCTTTACTTAAAAGTACATGAATGGCTCCTAGTCTGGACTGAAGATATGAAACACAGGAAGCAAAGGCTCATCTTTCCTTTCCCAGCTGTATTATGCCCCCATGTTATAGTTAGCAAGAGTAAACAAACAAACATTGTACAGCACAGAGGGCTACAACAAACCTTTGAAAATGGGGAACGGGTAAACATGGAAGACATTCCTTTTACAAGTAAAAAAAGCCTTCCTTTCACACAACAAACTACATATTTGGATCAAAGTTAGCACCTGAAACAGTTAAAATTTCATCAATAATCATCAAACAAAATGGTACAAAATCAAGATTCAGAAGTGAATTGTACAACATCAAGATTCTAATAACTCAGTTCTACTTTAGATTGTTTGGCTGGTGTGGAAGGCAGACTTTCCCAACGAGTATTTCAACCACATACAAAATTTTAAATCGCCAATCTGAGCTATAAATTCATCACATATTTGGCTTTATCAGATCTAACCAGTACTGCTGAAAATCCACCATAGTATTGATAATATGGCAAGGAAATCACTGTTTAATCCCTTAGAATTTAGAATTATCTTGAGTAGTAAGTGATTACATCATTAGCAGCTTTTAAAACATCTGCAAATGTCCTTAAGAAGACGAAAGTCTATAGTGTAGTACTGGCTTGCATTCCAGAAGTTTAGAAGACTAGGGATCACATCTTCAGAAGGACAGAAACATTAGTAGATGTGGATCTAAGTCACAGGCAAGTATATGTCTTCTATGACTTCCGGCTATTCGAACATGTCTGTTTTTGCTTTGGCTGCTTTAGACATAACTGGGTTTGCTCATGGGGTACTCTTGCTTTTCATTCTGTAGTAAAATTCATAGTCAGGTCTACAGGCATTTTGGGAATCTGTGTACATGCAGATTTGGTTAATGTGATCATAATTCAGCATCTTGAAATTCATTCTGTAGTAAAATTCATAGTCAGGTTTACAGGGATTTTGGGAATCTGTGTACCTGCAGATTTGGTTAATGGGATCATAATTCAGCATTTTGAGAAGCTCATATTTCTCTTAAAATGAATTAATCAACTTTTAGCTCATGTTTCTCTTAAAATGAATTAATCAACTTTTAGACTCGTAGTTCTGAAATCTATGCACAACCAGTTTTATCTCAAAAACCCGAAAGAGAGGCAAGGAGGATTTCCAACGGCCTAGGGAGCATTGGTTCAGTATCCTGCATAACTCTCTGTCATTCTCCACAACAGGTATTATAGTAAAACCAAATAAATACTATTTGCAAATGGATTTAGTATTTGAATGAGGGTTTACCTGCATCCTTGTGCAACGTGCACACAGACCACCCAGAGATGGCTGGTGGAATAGCTGAAGTTTTAAGCACAGAGAACCTGTAGCCAGAGTAGGGGTGTGTCTCCCCCCAAAAAATCGAAGAATAGAGACACCTCTGTTCTTCCCACAAGACGGTTTCAATAATGTTCCATAATAAATCAACTTTGCTTTTGATCATAAGAAGTTGGGTGAATCTATCATTTTTTAAGGTTATGAAAATCTTACAAAATCTGATATGAGAAGGATATTCTGTTATGATAAGCCTTTTGTGCTTTTATTAGAAAGATAAATTTAAATATTACAGACAAACAAATAATAAAATGTGCAAAATCAACCCATGCACTTTCATATAATATTTACTGATTGCACAGTTTGGGTTACATTGTCACAGAATCTGTGATCTGAGTAGTTTTCTAGTGTGAATTTAAAAAATAGTTTCCAGACATAATACGAAGCAGATTTCTACCCCATCTGTTCATGAGTAAAGATGCATCAGTCGTGTTCCTCCTGCATAAATTGATAAAAAGATGGCTGACATACCACAGACAGAAGCCAATGGCTACTTAGGAAATCTGTGTATAATATTAGTAAATATCTCTTTCTTTAAGGCAGAGGAAGGGAACCTGTTACTCTCCTACCATAGCATTGTCAGACTGCAGTTCCCATTAGACCTCATCACTGGCCATGCTGGCTACTACTCCTGAAGGGCCACAGGTTTCACATTCCTACTTTAAAAGACAGCTTTAATTTTGAAGTCTAACAATATATATCACAGCACCAACATTTCATAAGAGGACCAATGGACATTAGTTGGATTTGATCCACCAAATCCCCACAATCACATAACTCACTGGAAAGACTGGAGCCCTACCTGCTTTATGGCACTACTGCAAAAAAATAAAAAAATTTAAAAAAAGGAAAAGCAATAAAGTACTTTATTCAAAGTACATTTCACATCTGGATAGCTCCAAGGTTTAGGAATCTCGTTGCAGAGGAACAGACTGGACGTTCAGTTCCCCACTGTGCCCACCTGAAAAGACTAGACTCAATGATCCTTAGAATCCTTTCCAGCTCTGCAGCTCCAAGATTATATATTACCCATATTAGGGCATTTATAACACAAATGCACTTTATTAACAACTCTCCAGTAATCCAGAACATAGGTTACCGTTCTTGTGTATCCCAGGTGGTGTTATTGTGAAAATAAATGTTTGTTTTGCAGCTGTGGTTGTTAGGAGACTTGCATCCTTTTATGGCAACATCCCACACCAAACCTTGATCAACACTGGAGGTCTTGGTTCTATAGTACAAAAGCTGTGGCATGAGCTTTCTATCACTGAGAAGTACTTACTACCTTAAAAGAAGTTAGACCTTTAAAAAAAAAAAAACATGCTTTCAACAATTTTTCTTAGCATTTTTCTGTGCACATTTTTTATATCATTGCATGTCTAGTTATTTTTAAATTGTACATTTATTGTCCTTCTAACTTTAATTGTATTTGAAGTATTGTGGCCTGCCTGGAGTCCTGTTACAGGAGAAAGGTGACCAAAAAAACTAAAACAAGTAAATAAAAAAGCAAGTATCTAGTTACGTAGAAACAACTTCACAAGAGTACATAACAATAGTTTGTTCCCCCTTCTTTACCTATTTTGGGATTTTCTGTGAAAGCGTGACTCTTTTTTCTGCCTCCGGGTGACAGGGGGAGCAGGAGTCGATGGAAGAGGGGGAGGGACAGCAGCCAGAGTTGAAGGAGGTAGGCCGTTGCTTGGTTTACTTTTATGATTCTTGTCAGCTTCATACTCAAAGGTGCGTTTCGGCTTGGGCACAGGGTTTACTGCTGTGTTTCCCAGGCTCTCAGGAAGCAGCTTAGGGCCAACAGAATCAACTGCTGTATTAAGTCCATCAAGTGTTTTGCTAGTTTTCTCACTCTCACTGGGTGTCTCTGGGTTATTCCCACATGCAGCTACCTTCCCTACTTTGCTATCATTTGCGTTCTCAGTCAAGGCCTCCACGACACCCAACGTCACAGGCTTTTTCTTTCCTCTATCTACACTATAGCAACTACTTGGCAATTGAGGAAGACCCCTGCCGGGCTGTTCTTTCAACACCTGTTCAATTTTCTGTATCCTGTTCAGCACAGCAGAACTCTCTTTTCTAGCATTCCCCTTGAGGAAGGCGTTTGAAGGCTCGCTCCTACTTGGCCTCTTTTCGAGCCTGTGGCAGGAATCTCTGTCCAGGAATTCCTCCTCCTCTGTTTCTGGATAGGAGCATTCAGAAAAAGTCCTGCTCATCCTCTGGAATCCTTTGTACTCAAATGTCTTCTCACTGCAGGGAGAAGGCAACATACTAGGGCAGCTTTCACTGCCCGACCGATCCCCAGCATCCCTCTTGTCCAAACATACATTCATTCTAGGGGGAGCCTCTCTGCGGCACTCCCATTCCGATATCTTCTGCCTGATACCAAGGGCTTGGGAGTGGACACTGACCCTGCTGAGGGACAGATTCCTTAGATTTGCTGCTGTCCCCAAAGAGAGAGTGCTCCGAGTGAGCTGGCAGCCATCGACTGCTTCACCATCTTGAGCCTCCTTGGTCACCTCCTTTGGGTCTTCAGCCCGGACAAAAGAGAGCCTTTTATCTAAGCAACCAATGCTAACAGCTTTGAGGAGATGATTTGGAGATTCAGTGTCTGAGGAGGAAGTGGAGGTACTTCTTAAAGTAATTCCCCAGTTAGTCCGATCCTTGAGGAGGGGCCTGGAATTAGAAACTTTGGTGAAACTACTGGAGTGGCAGGAGTCCTCACTATCACTGAGGGGATGTGATGTTGGGCTTCTTGGTTGGTACAGAAGAGGTGGTGGAGAGATTGATTGACACCTGAAAGTGAGAGGAAAAACATGAATCAACCATCTGACTCCCTAAGCATTACTCCTTTGATGTCGTTTTCTTAAATCAGATTTATGGACTGAACCAAAATAACTATTTTGCTAAAATTATGTCCACAATTGCACAGATTTGGTACTAGAATAATGTCCTTTCCTTTTTGCTTTTAATCAGCTGTGATCTTCAAACATTTTAAAGAGCAGTAGAACAGAACTATTTAAAAGAAGAAAAGTCGGGTAGAAATTAAACAAAATAAAATTAATAAACACCAAGCTTGCTAATTTTGAGGATTTTTTTCCAAATACAGCCACATTCTTTTTTCCAGCACACCCACAAGTTAGATAATTTAGGAAGCTCACAAACGAAATGTGGTGGATGTGTTCACCTTTCTGGTCTTAAAGAATCATACATTTTCTTCAAAATATGGGCATTCTATATTTTTATCATAGGTACAATAATTATAAATAGTCTTCCACAGATTTATATACTCTAGCCTTGTAAACAAATTTCCCAAATTTACTAGTCTATCTAAAAACAAAACAAAGCAAGACAAAATGAATCAAATGCCAAAATGAATACAAAATACACCTTTACCCAGATGTTACTACGTCAGAAGTTTATCCTAAGAAAAGTATTAGCTATTGTAAATTTGACAGGACACTCTCCCAATAAACTAACAATACTGCTACAATTTTTATTATTTTTGATTTGGAAAATACTAAATTCAGACATCCAAGGATGGAACCCTAGATATGGAAGTATCTGTCCCTGCTATTTTGTGCTGGAACTTTAAGTAGCAAACATTGCTGCTCCTTGGTAATGCTACCAAACATGGCTTTTACTTACTCTATATAATACCTAAAATTAAATTCTAATTTTGTGAATAAGAGTTGGGGGGTTGTTCCTTAACTTCCATGCTTTATGTCATAAGGGACCTTTTAAGTAACTCCAAGTAACTACAGGAAATGTCTCAATTGGATAACATGGATGTTGGAGAATTGTGCTAATTAAAGAATTCCTATTCTGTTCAAGGGCTCCCCCAACTCAGAGAATGATTACACATAAGCTGGACAAGCAGCAAGACTGAAAACTTTAATTACCAAATATCTCCCTTCCTTGAAATGTCCTCACCCTTCCACAGGCACAATTTACACAACAGGATTTTAGCTATCTTTTCAAAAAGTGAGAACCAGTGTGAAGAGGAGAATAAGATTATGGTTAAGAGCATGAGCCATCCCCTTGATTGTCTGGGGCAGAAGTAGTTGACACCTTTATGTCCACCTTGCCTATGGAAATGAAAGATCTAACTATAGGAGGAGGGGTCACTGAAGTGCAGGGGAAGGAAAAGGCGGTAACAGGAGGGGTGACAGAAGGTTTCTTGATGACAGAGGAGGATGAGAGAAAGAGTGCTGGGGTTCGGAAGAGTGGATTAGTCCAGAGCAGGAGGTAAAAGAGGAAGGTAACATAAAGAAGAGAGAGGAGAAAGAAACTTACGTTTTAAATGTTCCGGGAAGAGATGAAGCGAGAAAAGAAAGAGGTGGGGGACATACACGAGGGTGAGGAGGTCAAGGTCTAGAAATACAATTTCTGGACCATATATGTGTACATGTGGGGGGAAAGGAGGAAGGTGGTCCAACCAGATCCTATTCCAGTGGCTCAGATACCTCGCAAGGGAGATTGGGCCCATCACCCATGTTGTAGAACCATCTGCACGGCGAGGAGCAATCCTATGAGAAGGCCAATGTACAGAGAGAGATTTGGAACATCTCTGCGTTAAGAGACCAATGAGATAGTTAATGGACTTCTTATGTTATGGACTGTGTCTCTGTTAGCAGCCGGTCCTGTTGGTCCCACAGAAGTTATTGTTGATTCCCCTACCCCCTTTGAAAGTAAATTTTTGGCTGATAAGACTGCGTTTCCTGTGGTTAATTCCGCCAAAAAGGAGGAACTGCTTAGTTTTATATCTGAACCCAATCACAACCAGTCATAATGTTTTATTGTCCCAATAACCCTTGCTATAACTTGGAATTGTTAAAGTACAGACTTTGGGGCTGTTGTGTAATGCTCAGCTTGTACTCCTTCCTCTTGCTCAAAATTACCACAAATATTCATTACAAAATCTTTGATGAATGGAATTGTGCAATATATAATTATCTAGTGTTTAGATCTCATTTGTGAAGGGGATTTCCTCTTCACTTAAGCCAGGTATAAGGAAATAGAGCAGTGACTCAGGCACTGTTCACCATTTTCTTTTAATTCAGTGAGCTTTTCTTTTCTCTACGGGGGTAAGCATTTTAAAAAAATTTCTTTATTATTATTTATTTATTTTATTTTTTGCTTTAGACCTGCTACTATGTAATTTAAACCATACCAGTATATGCTGATTCTTGAATTTTCCACCTCTCTTTTGCTACCTCTGCATGCTTTACCAGGTACATGTGCTTCAGAATGGGCACATGTGATACAAATTGTATTTCAAATGTTGTAAGCCGCCAGAGACCTTTGGGTAGTGTTGGCGTAAATAAATAAATAAATAAATAAATAAATAAATAAATAAATAAATAAATAAATAAGCAAGCTGTACAAAAGTATTTGAGATTATTGTATATGACTTAAAACAGAACCGGTTCTCAAATGTAATTAGGCTTGCCAAGTCAGCAACACCTTGAGATTTGAGGGCCAAAACCCAAGTGTAAGGATGGCCATTATAATTTTACAAAGATGAGGCAGGGTTGCGGTGGAGAAGAACTGCTACTGGGTCATTGGAAATTGGAACAAGAGAAATCCAGATTAATGGAATCAAAATTAAAACAAAATCCAGCTGGCCAAGTAGTCCAGAGCTGGGGCTTTTTTGGTAGTTGGGCAGGCAGCAAAACATATCAGACAGCTGCTATTTCTGTCATTTCCACCATGACTCACATCTCACAAACCTTATCTAGTGCACATACCCCCAAATCACAGAACTGAAAGACAGAAGAAACCCACAGGATCACTGAATTCCAACCCTGTGAAGAAGCAAGAAATTCACATTGAAAGCATCCATGACAGAGGCTTCTTGTTGCGGCAAGAACCTGTTGGGATTCAGGGAAGCTCCTGAAACTGACCAGGACCCCTCAGTTCCATCTCTCCCTCCACCCAAATTAGGGAGGGAAAGGATGGTCCCCTAGGACAAATGATGTCTGAAGCAGAATAGATGACAAAAGGGGGGGATGGGATCGACGAAGGCTGGTTCCCCCTCCAAAGTTGCATCTGAGTGCATGGACCGAGGAGGAAGCCATCTTGGCAAAGAGCTGAGAACACCCCAAGTAGAAAGTAAGAGAGTGTAAAAGGATAGTGAAAATATCTGAACCAGAGATTCTGAGTAAGTTAAAGTATCTGTTCATGTAAGGAAAATCTTAATAGACCCAAATAACTACACTGAAAAGAGACAGATACAAAGAGTCAGCAAAATGGTCTTTACCTTTTAAAAAACCTTACAGTAGAAGCAAGCCTCCCCTGCCCCAGCTTGGACCGGGAGAACAAGAGGAGAGAAGAGACAAAGAGAAAAGGGGGAGAAAAATTACCTAACCACGAAAGTAGAGCAATTTAAGATAATCGCTCACGTGACTATCTAAAATATCAATATTAATCCTACTTATTTCAAAGCACTGTGGATCCTTTAAATTTTTATTGTTTGCTTTGGTGACTGTGAGAACTTTCCAGCCGGGAGGGAAGATCCAAACCCCCCCCCCCCTTGGATCAGACACGTAAACAAGCATCACACATGGAAACATCAGTGCTGTATGTAACAGCGACCAGAGGATGTCCAACCAAATATAGACACAAGAATTGATATAGCATATACCAGGAATAAAAACCTTCCCAGAGAAATTCATGTATAATTTATGAGAAATGTCTTTTGAGATAAAGTTTCTAAGAAATATACAAAGCAAGAAACATAAAGAAAATATAAATAAATTAAGATCTTGAAATATATTTCATGGCAAATAATACAGAAAAAAAGACAATGTGCAGAGTTGACATCCCTCTTGAGAACAAACTCAATTGTGTATAAGTGGTTGGTGCCTAAAGGTATCTTCTTTGAATTCCAGGAGCAGGGTTATTATTTTAACTCAAAACTGAAGGCAGAAGATTTTATGGAAACAAAGAAGTGGCTGGACAGAAAAAAGCAGATGAGAAACGAGTTTGGGCAAATTCATGTTGGTCGCTTCGATGGCACTGTCCAGCCATCTCGTCCTCTGTCGTCCCCTTCTCCTCTTGCCCTCACATTTTCCCAACATCAGGGTCTTTTCCAGGGAGTTGTCTCTTCTCATGAGATGGCCAAAGTACTGGAGCCTCAGCTTCAGGATCTGTCCTTCCAGTGAGCACTCACTCAGGGTTGATTTATGATGTGCAGCATTAATAGTCATGAGTTGTTCATGCATGTATGTGTGTTTGTGTATTTGATTACATAACAAAATTTATTTGAAAATGTAAGTCTCTGAGCCTTGTCCAGTTTTTAAGCAGGAGGATTATTATCTTGCCTGCGGATGAACTCTCCACTATGATCTGTCCATCTTGGGTGTCCCTGCATGGCATAGACCATAGCTTCTCTAAATTACTCAAGCCACTTCGCCACGACAAGGCAGCAATCCATGAAGGGGTATAAAATGGTAGAAGAATATTAATGATTATTATGTTGACAGGATATATAGGGAATAATTTCATAATTAGACTTGAAAGCCTGGAAAGCATCGACTAAAGAAAAATGTGATGGTCCAACTAGGGAAAAGACAGATTGGTAAATATAGTAATACTGGAAAATTTGCTGTTTTTCTTTTTATCTCTCTTTCTAGTATAATTGTATAAGCTGATGTAAATGTACTATCTCACTCTGTGGAATTTTACCTTTTCCCTATCCATATCTACCTCCCACAACCCTACATTCTCTTCCCCATAATCCTATCTCCATTGAAAAGAATTAAAATTAGATGGGGGTGGGAAAAAGCATCCCT